GGATCATAGAGCGGGGGTGGCGAGTGGCTGCTTTCTCTTAGGAGAGGCCCGGCTCGGTCCCGCTTCGAGCGGCGCTGGCGGTCAGCGATACCGGGAGTAACGGCACCCTGCCCGGCGGCTGAGGCGATCTCACCTCAGGGTTGGGCCTCCGCGAGGCCTCGCTCCCCGGCCCAGCCGCCGCCGAGGGCTGGAGGCCTGGGCGCAGAGCAACGGGGTGGTACCGGCCTCGGCCTCCTCAGGCTCCAGCGGGGCCGCAGCCAGAGGTTGGGGAAGGTGGGAGAGAGGGGAAACGGGGCTAAAAAGGCGGGGGAGGCCTTTGCTGCCCTGCCCCTTCTCCGAGCCCAGCGCCGGCAGAATGTGGAGTCAGAGAGAAATGGCACGCAGCCAGAGCGCGATACCGAAAAGCCGATCGAAGAAACTCTCTAAACCTCGTTTTGGAGTTTTAGAAGGCAGGCATTCTTTATTGCAGCACTGGATGCACGGGGGATAGTTCACCTAACATGCATACCACAGTTTTAGCACTAACAGGTTATATAGAATAACTAATTGCATATTAATCAGATTAGTATACATAGACATAAAAATAATTGCAACTGATTATCTTAGTACTGCCTACATCCGATCATGCGCCATGAAGGATCCATCTGAGTCAAAGGGCTGCTTTTGCGACCACCGACCCATTTGAAGTTCTCATTGGCTCTCCTTGAAGTCTTTATTCTTGTCCTTGTTCTTTGATCTTGAAGCTTAACGCAGCTTCAATCACATGTGGTCAGTTTCAACATTGTTCTCATCTAGCGTACAGGAACATCTAGTCATAAGAGCAAAGAACTGCAAAACTTACGAGTAGCTACCCCTACTAGTTAATTGCTTGGCTATACTTTTGTCTATTGTTTCAGTCATAGTGTTAGTGTAAGATTTCTAATAATTATTTACCACATCTCCCTTTTACAGTCATCTAGCAGCAAACCAGTTTCCATGGTTGGTACAAAATATTAAAACCATCAACATATTTAGACATACCATACAGAATGTATGGAAATATGTTATCAAGCAGAACACGTTGCCTTCTCCGGCGCCAGCGTGGTGAGATTTTTGCAGGCTGAATACGTCCGCTTGGTTCATAAGAATCTGCTTGTGTTGGTGTCAGTGCTGAACTAACCTTGGAAAGGAGCAGTCTGGAGGAAGCCTGTGCCTGCTGCCAGAACCCAGCTTGCTCTGGGGAAGGGACCGCTTATTGTACCGAGTGCCTGTTGGCGAGCCAAGAAGCGAGTAATGAAAAACAAACCCCCGTAGGATTCTTTTAATTCTGCATCCAGGCACCCCTGCATGTCGCCCCGCAGGTAGACAGGGGTCTGTTGGACTGAGGGGAAGGAGTGAGGCTTCTGGTTCGCCCCACTCCACACGAGGGAGCACTTACAAAACGTTCGTACTCGCTTCCTACCGTCCCAGTCTTGAAAATCTAGCCAGCGGCTTGGGAGGATCAGCTGAGACAAAATGCCAGTTAGGAATGAATATTACTAATCTGTGCAGAAATGGCTCCGTGAGGATGCTTCTGCAAATGCAGCCCTGCAGCCTTCTCTGTACCGGACGACTCTGGGGCCATCACCAGGACACCCCCAACCGCCTCCTTGCAACCCCCAGACGTGCATGCCTGGCAGTCAGCCTCCAATCCCATAAAAGCCGAGAGGTACCAAAATAATCTCATTTTATTCCCTTTTCCCTTTCCTCATCCATTCTTCCATGATTGGTTTAGCAGATCGCTTAAGTCCCCGGCTAGCGCTGTACACGTGGCACCGTGAAAAGATCTGGATGTGCCAGAGCGGATGGCAGCCCGGATGAACTGAAGTGAGGCTGCGGCAGCGCCGGCTGCTGAATGGTGGCTTTGATGTTACCAACTCCTCTGCCCATGCTGCATCGAAGGGATCTCCCACCTGAGCAAACCCAGCCTCTGTGGCTGAGGGACCCCCAAGGCCCCTCACAGAGGGAAGCTCGTGCCAGCCAGGCCCTGGTGTGGTCACCAAGATGGCTGCTGGGTCTCACATGGGCAACCCCACTGCAGCAGCGGAGGTGTGCGCAAGCGGCAGCCGTTGCCATAAGTCAGGGTTTCTTGTGTCACACAGTCGTAACCGGCCCTGGTCTGAACCAGTACTGGCAGGAGTCGTGGCTGGGTTTGTCTACCGCTAATCTCAGGGTGGATGAAATGTGAAGCAACGACAAGAAGAATGTGCTGCCGTACTCCTACTGCCGCTACAACCACAGCGACATATGGAGGACAGCAAGCACTTCCCTGCCAGGCTTAGCGCAGACAGCTAAGAGGCAAGTGACTGTCCCTGCTCTGAGGATTGCCCCACCAGACCCTGCCACCAGCTCCTGGTGGCAACCGGGAGCCCAGCCTTGGGCAGTTGCTGTCATCCACCAGCACCTCCCTTCACTTGGCCTCCCCTGGGCTCTCACCTTGTGAGTGGAGCAGCAAGGGCACTTCTGAGCCCTGGCGTACCCAGCTGCATCCTGTGGTTACTTCCTAGCACACGAAAAGTGCCTCGGGCCAGCAGCCCTCCCCGTGACTCCCCCTTCACAGTGGAAGATGAGAGCTGGGAGCCCACCAGGAGACTTGTCCGCACCCCTGTGCGGGGCCGGGGCTGTGGTGTTTCCCCTTGTAGCAGTTGTGGTGGTGACATGCTTGCTCTCGTGGCGCTGCACCCAACACAAGGCGAAGAGCCAGGCCATCTGCACACGGGCACGGCAAAAAAAAATGATTGCAGGCATCCAGTGCCAGCATGGCACGGCCCAAATAAAAGGTTTGCAGATGCTGCTCAGGCAGGATTAGGCCTCCAATGTGCTAAGTCTCGGCTCTCGGTGAGCCTAATTGCTGCTGCAGTAAGCCCTGGCTGGTCCTTCCCTGAACCGTGCTCCCCACGGCCCCCCCGTCAAACATTTTTTTTTTTTGCTGCAAAGCTTGTATTTGCTATGCATATGTTCCCCCCCGCCCAGCAGGGCCTGGCCAAGTAGAGGAGGCGAAAGGCAGGGAATCTGCAGATGCCACTTTTATTGCTCTGCTCTTCCCAGCCAGTGTCCCACCGCTCTCTGCCCGCCCAGCACAGCCGGTGGCTGCCTGTGTCCAAGGAGCCAGGCCAAGCAGCAGAGGTGGGGACAGGTGACAGCATCGTTACATGGCCACACACTCCCTGAGCTGTATTAGGAAACCTTCCAAATTGGAATTATTCAGATTTTAATAAAATCTTTTGATAATTTTCCGTTATGTTTTGGCCAGTGGTTCAAACTGGAGGTGTTCCACAAGAGCTGTCACGGCATGTGTGTGTGCCAGTTCAGCCCAGCCGTGAGGTGAGGACCCGTCGCAGCCAGCAGTCGGGCAGTTGGATGGCCACGGCACCCTTTGTGCCTCGCTGGGGGTGCTTGTGCGATTGGGACCACCCAGCTGCTTTGTGCCCCTCCCCAGAAGGCAGAGGTGCCCCCAGCGGTGCCTCCCACCATGCATTCACCTTGCCCAAGTGAGCAGCTGCTCCTTGTATTTCACCACAAGAGACGTGGAGACACAGGGTCCAATTCCACACTTTCCGAAGTGGCAGGATCAGCAGGAGGAGGAGAGGACTGCATAGAGGCTCAAGAGGTAAAGCGCCTTTCCTGCCATCAGGGCAGGAAAACCTCACACTTGAGCTGTATCAAGGAGGATTTTCAACAACGCTCGGGAGAATGGAGCAACTTTCTCCCCATGACTTCCCTCAAGAACTGGCCACGTGCTCTGTTTCGGACCATCTCCTAACCCATCAGCTGTGGTTTGGCTCTTTGACTGGCACAAATGAATCACCTTCTGGCATGTGTAGGCCACTGGACTGGAACTCAGTTCTGGGGAGACACACGAGGGCTTTGCTTTGCCCCCTTGGAACGACTACACTGCCTCAGCAGAGCTCTCCAACCCAGTTTAGGCACGAGTCTGTGGAGGATCTGTTCAAAGCTAGCAGCAACCATGAGGTGTGCCAAAGGAAGGTACAAATTGCAACGCAGAGCATGAAAACCAAAGATACACCACAATTTTATTTATGGATGTGTAATAAATAAATGGTGGACAAAACAGGAAGAGCCACATTCAAAAATCCAGATCACTAAAGTGCTTTTAGACATAAATATAGGACAACCAAGAAACAGCTCTGACATTAACACTTTTTACAGACAATTACAAAATATCTTCTTATGTCAATTCACAAAATCGTTTAATTGCTCCAGGATATTATGGCTTGGTTTTCAAAAAGGTCTGTTCTATTATGCATAGCGTGGCAGATAACATTCAAGAGCGTACAAAAATCATTGCATAAACAAAAATGTCTTTACCCCCTTCTCCCAAATATGAGTTAAGGAAGCTACACAGTGTAAATCCAGTGATAAGGCTGCATTGGCAGGCCAGATCCTCAGGAGGTATAAACCGGTGTGTCTGTCAGGTTACACCAGCTTGAGGATGAACCCTACTGTGTTTAAAAACCCTGCTGCTCCTCAAGGTGGAAGAATTGTGTGCTCAAAGCGGAGGGACTTGCCCCACGGGTGCTGTGCAGGGGTGGAAGTGCTCGGAAAAGGCGTCTGTAAACTCCTGCACCGTCTTTGCACCCGCGCATTTGAGAAGGGAGCGACTCCCATTGCATTGCTGCTCTTTGTGCTCCTGGCTAGCCAGGGAAGCATTCACAGCCCAGAGGGGAAGGACGGCTCTTCCCCAGCAGCAGTCCATGCTGACCACAACGCGGTCTCATTTTCTCACTGCTCTTGGCCCCGCTGGGACACCTCTCCCACCCTCCACCCTGGCTCTGTTGAGAAGTGAACAGCTTGAAAATGAGGGGACAAGGGGATGTGTGTGCCCAGTTTTAAAATGCCCTGAATTCAGATAAAAGTTCAATTGTTTAAGAAAAATATATATATATATATCAATAAATCAATAAATATTATTATCTCGCCAGGAAGCTGCGAGGTCTGGCCTCCTCCAGGGCAGCCCGAGCTCAGCGGTCCCTGTCCTTCTGCTCCTGGGGGGGGTCCCCGTTGATGCACTGCCTCAGTACGCCCCTCTTCTCGTGCTTGGCTGTCCTGGAGAGGTCGATGGCTGTGTCCTCCGAATCTTTTGCAGGGCCAAGCTTGTCGGAGCCCCTCTGGGAACTGGCCTGCTTCCCTTTGAGTTCCTCCTCCTCCTGCTCCGCTCGCCAGCCATCTGCCAGCTTCTCTTGGCTCTCCGCCTTCCTGCTCACCTCCATGGACTTTTTGTGCATGCCTTGCAGAGGGCAGAGAGCAAAGCCAAGGGCGCCGGCTGCTTATTTCTGCCCGGGACCGCTCAGCATCACTCCCTGCCCTCCTGCTGTTCCTTTCAGCTCTCGCTTGCATCCCGAGGAAAACTCATGCTAGCTACCAGCCTTTCCCAACCCGGAGCCCTGCCACCTGCTCTCTACAGCCCGAGAGGATGGCTTGCAGCAGAATTGGTCCATACCTCCCCCGCAGTGGGGAAGACTTACGGGGAGAGGGGGGCTGTGACGGCCCATCCCAGCCAGGATTTCGAGTGCCACCTCAGCGTAGGACCGTGTATGAGCAGAGGGTAGCTCTGAGGTAGCATTAACATTATGTTCAGTTTGGGGGGGAGGCTGATGACTTCCTAGCCGCCCTGCAACTCCCATGCTGGCTGCTAGCACTAGGAAGCGATACCTCAGCTCGTGCAGGCACCTGTCTGACACGGCAGTAAAAGGTTTGCCTTTTCCTAACTGTTCTTTGCAAGGGAGGAGTGGAAAAGCCAGGACGCTTGGCAGCCTGCGTACAGCTCATGGCCGGGGCCCCATTCTTTTCTGGGAAAAGGCAAGGACCGTCATAAAAAGGAAGGGTGGTTCGCGCCGCAGCTGCCCCCTGACTCCCCCCCCCAGTCCCAAGCTCCCACTTACCCAGCAGCCATGGGGCGCAGGATCCCACCAGCCCGCTCTTGGCGGAGTTGATGATGGACTCGGGCAGAGGGATGGAGTGCCTCACCATGGCCCCGTAGAGGCCATACTCGGCCATCACGCTGCTCCGGCCCCAGCACTTCTCCCGCTTCCGCCACTTGGCTCTTCGGTTCTGAAACCAAACCTTCAGGGGTAACAGCCAGGAGAGCACGGAGGGGTGGGATTGGGGAGGACATAGCCCCCACGGCCGGGCGTCCAGGGCCCGTTGGGCACGGAGGAGCGTGCGTCCAGGGCAAGGGGGCAGCCGCGGGGGTGCGTGGAGGGGTTTGGGTGTGCGAGCGCAGGGTGCAGATGCGCGGGTGGCCGAGGGAGGGCGGCCGGGGCAGTGCGTGGGGAGGGGGTTGGAGGAGGGCACACACGTGGGTGTCAGTGAGAGAGGGGAGGAAGGGGGGGGGAGAGGGAACACACGTTACACGAGGCTGATCGTGACACAGGAGGGTGATCCCAGCCAAAGTCACCCTACGCTTCGCCTGCCCGCGGGGCCCCTCTGCTGCCTCCACACGGAGCACCAACCTCTCCAGAAAAGGGGGTCTGTAATGCAGTGACCAACGATGACAGCGAGTGCTCAGGTCCCTCTCCCCAACCCCTTCCTGCGTTCAAAGCCTCAAGGGGTGTAGATACAGCCTGGCTGCTGCCCAAACCACCACCCCATTCTTAAGCCAATGGGCTGCTCCACAGTGGGGCAGGATCAGGCCCTAAAATGCCATGTGTCCCTCAAAGGGACAAGCTAGCAAGCAAGCTAGTGGGACACAGCTTGGCCCAGCAGCTCCTGAATCGCTCTCCGGAGACCCAGCTCAGGCAGGAGCTGAGTCTCCAGAGGACAGAGCCGAGCTGCTGGCAGCAAGCAGCTGTCGGGGCCAGTTCTGTCCCCTGGTTCTGCATTTCTATTTGGAGCCTGTTCAGTGCTGGAGCAGGGTGGGGGTGGAAGCTGAGCTGCCCCCCGCGCCCCAAGCATCCTGCAGCACTTCAGTGCCACCACATTCCCACCGCCTGCATCATTTCAGTGCCACCACTTTCCCACTGCCAGCGCTCACTGGTCGCAGAGCAGAAGAGACAGCCGGCTGCCCGCAGACTCCACGGGGAGAGAGGACCAGCACAGCCACCCACCTGTATCCTGTCCTCCGGCAACTCCGTCTTCACGGCCAGCATCTCCCGGGCATAGACGTCGGGGTAGTGAGCTTCGTTGAAAGCCTTCTCCAGCTCTTCCAGCTGGTGAGCTGTGAACACCGTCCTGCCGAGAAGAGAGAGCGTCCTGTGACACAGTCCAGACTCTTACGGCAAGCAGCGGGGCTGGCAGCCCCTTCCCCGCTGAGGTTTTTTCCACCTGAAAATCCTCCCCCCCAGCTACAGCCCTTCTCTTTCGTTGCTCCCCTGGGGACATCCACCGCCCCAGCCCGAGGACCAGAGGGGACAGCGGGAGGCTGGCGGTAGCAGCGAGGAGGTGAGAATGGGGACAACCCCGCTCTGGGGCTCTACCTGTGCCGGCGTTTCTTCCTCTTGATCTGGGACGTGGGCATCTTCAGGTCGCTGGCGTCCCCGGAGAGGCTGTCCTCGTCTGGCAGCAGCATGCGGGAGGGGAAGAGTCACGTTCCCGTTGGGAGCACGGACACCAAACCCAGCTCCCAAAACACGGCTCCAGTCACCCGTGGGGGAGCAGGCCCGGGACGAAGTTCCCCTCCCGCACCAACCGGTAACACCAGGACCGCCGCCAAGGCCAGAGAACCGCACCGGTGCCACCGTCCCGGGGCAAAGGGGATCGACACCCACCCTTGCCGGGGGCGGGGGGGCGGGGGGGGGTCGGAGAGGCGGCAGCCCTACGGGACGGGGATACACGGGGCCGATCCCCCCACCCTCACCCCGAGCCCTCCATCCCCGTCCCCGCTTACCGGAGATATTCTCCTTGTGGCGGCGGGCAGCGGGGGGCGGCCCGGGGGGCGGGGGGGGGCCACGGGCTGG